AATTTCCTTGCTTTAATATATGATTTTGCAGCCAGATAGGAGAAAAAATTCCGAGCTGAATAACGCCGAAAAAGTTTAATAAGTCAAAGCAAAGTCTCTGTATAGTTGAGGTTTTTTAATTTTTAGACGGAAAATTTAAAATCAGTGATGATTTTAGGATGGTTTAGCAATATTTTAGGTAAATTTTGCGGTGGCTTTACTGCAACACTGGATTACTAGTAATAAAGTAATAGACTGTTAATCTAGTATGGGTGGGTGCATACCAGGTATGGTTGGGTGGTTTGCAGCCAACCCGAAGGCCATTCGAATTGACTAGGAGGTCTTGAACTCGAACTGAGGCCACCTGTTAAGCCTGACCTCAGCTGCAAGCTTAAGCTGACGATTAGACGTAAAAGCGCAGGCAAAATAGGCACCGGACATAGGCTTCTTGCAGTCTTGTGAGATTTATAGATGGCGGTGGCGGTCATGGCAAATTGGGATGGATTGTGTGCGGATATGAGAGTGGAAACTGATCCGGAATGTCTTTCCGGAAACTACAGTGATCCGGAATCCGGAAAGGCAATATTCCGAACGGATTCCGGATTGTTTGAGATCCGTATGAGGGGATTTCCTTTAGGTTGTGCGCTTAAATTCAAAATCTTTGGTTTGTGATGCGTGAAAATTTTAAAAGATTTGAGTTCGAAGAGTCGTCTGCTTAGAAACTAACATCAACTGCCGCCCACACGTACTGCTACGGCTGCTGTTTTGGAGCGATTTCTGAGCCCAGATGATGATGGAATTTTTTTTGGAGAATGAAAAATGAAAAATTTTTACGAAAAATTTCCATTTTGAAAATTAGTTCCGCATCTGCTTTCATCTATCTCTAGCGTATCCTATTTTCCAACACTCTCTCTTCTGTCCAGGTGCATTTAGAGCGTCTGCAACCCAGAACTCGAAACTCTTTAAGGAAGTTTTTGGAAATAGTCATCAGTTTGTTCGTAAAAATTTTCCAAAATTTTTATTTTTCGTAAAAATTTTCCAAATGTTCGTAAAATTTTTATTTCTTGTGACAAAAATTCAGTTGTCTTCGTTATGCGTTCACGACGTCGAATTGCGTTGGCCGTGGAAATCGTTTGGAAAAAGTTTAGAAA